TGCTAAGCCAATTACACATCAATTGCTACACAGGAAGGTAACTTGGCACAGTGCTAATTTTACCACCTCTCATAATGGTCAAGATTACTCAGTCATACATGATAGTTACATAATGATCTTGGTACTATTTGATGGAGAATAAATCGGGCTTTTTACGACTACCTTTGTATTTTAACAAAACTGCTTAGGATTCCAGTAATTTGGATTTGAAGTTGGGTACTACAATTAAACGAATGGTAACGTAGATTAACATCTTAGAACATCAGCTTCATGTGTCCTTAAATCTGATCAAGAAGGGTTGCAATGCAAAGAAACAACCCAATCATTATATATTGTGAATAATAATGCTAAATGTACTTGGTATACCCACCCTTATCCTAGCACTGAATCAGAAAATGTTGGTAACGATTGTGAAGAAACTGTATCGACGTTATTAGATAACGAGAGCAAATATTATTCAAAGTCTATGTAAAACTTTAAACTTCTTATAACAACTTTATCACTCAATTCAACATCTCTAGAGACGTCGCTAAAACAGTACTGTCAAAGTGAACTAGTAAATGTTAACAGTAAACCGTATTTTCAAATCATATCTGTCAAAACCACATATAATATCAGACCTGACGTCATTGTCTCTTGATTCAATTTTTGGAGGCAAATAGTTCATCATCAGTTCAGGTAATCTTGAACATTCTTGCATTCTCCCATTTGGGAATCAGATCCACTATTTGGCAAATAGAACGTTTGCAAAGAACGTCTACCCAGAGTACATGTTATGGTGAAGGCCACTGAAAATACCCCCGTCTCTTTATCATAAATGATGTTTCGTAGCACGCCATCCACATTAACCACTTTTCCAATGTACCAAACACCATCATAGACTGCAGCAGTATCATTGTCAATCATGTACATAACAGCTGCTTCATTATCATAGGGTTCGTCTGCGTCAGTGCTCATACTCTTGGGCTCATGTTTTTGCACTTCACGAGGCAAAGCAAGAAAAAACGTTTTTAAGGGGGAGCTCTATTCTGGGTGTGTGGTATCGCTTAAGGTAGTGGTGTAACGAAAAAAAATTTGAAAAAATTGATATACCTGCACGTATTATTTTCTGTTGAAAATAAAGTACATGTATGATGGCATGATTGCACTTCCTTGTTTTTCAGCCAAACATTGTCACATTATCTTCTTTTATAAAGTTGGTAAAAGTCCATGGTAACCCAAGTGTTGTACAGAAACTTTGAGAAAACATATGAAAATTGAAAAGACGTCCATTTTGAATGTTTTTCATGAAATTTTAGCATTTTCGGAGTTAAAATTGAATTCTTACCAGACTGAATAAAAAAAGACACTGACGACACTTTCTTGAAAGAACAGGTCCATTTAACAGACTATTGGTCCACTTAGACTTTTTCCTTTTTCTTGAGATGTGCAATTTAAAAAGTGGCATTAGTTTTCAGTTTCTTTGAAAAATTTGCAGTAAGAACCCCTATCATTAGGCTGTCTGAATATGGGTACACACGATGTTTACCATCAAAATAATATCAAAACTTATCATTATATAGAATTTATTATATGGAACATACGGCATACAAGCATTCGGAGTAGAACATACACAGAATACAGCTATGTATTAAGTTTACCGATGCAAATCTGGAAAACATTGCCATTTTTCATTCACTTTGTTATCCAGATTTAACATGGTGCTCATTCCCTTTCAATGAACATTTAACCATCAGCCCACACTCCTACAAAAAAGATATTGACACTGTATAATGCATAGACTGTAAAGTAGCTTCTCTGCAAATATCATTGTTGTGGGAGTGTGGGCTCATCACTAAAACTGAACTTTTGTGAAGAAAATAAGGCTGACTGGTTTATGTTTTCAATATGGCTGCTAACCTGGGCATACATGTACACTACATAACTGCATGTACAGATTCGGCCATTCAAAATTAATTATATGTTGGCATTCTGATGAAGGGCCTTATATTAAAAACTACAAACCCCTTATTTATTTAAAGGGTTTTATATATTATTTAACAGTAATGCCAATGGGCATTTATTAAAAGTGACCCTATAACTATTTAGAATATGGCAAATATGTTTAGAAAACTGGCGAGAAGCAATACAAAAATCAAGAAATTATTCAAGTGTTTGTGAAAATATGTGAAAATTACTCATTCTAAGAGTCCGAATGACATGTATTAAGAATCACTGTAAAAAACAACTTTTTACCATATTTTGGATATTATTTTTGTGATTTGTTGAAAATATACTTCATAAAGAATCATATTATATAAAAATAATTCTGGAATTCAATTTTACCCTTTTCAATAATTTTCTAAGTCCTTATAGGTACACTAATGGGTACGGATCCTTTGCCTATCTAAACTGGAATAACCACAGCAATACTTGCATCTAACCTCTCACAAAATAGACATGCAGAATGTCCAAGTATGTCAGTAACTTCTGAATCTATATTTGATTGGTCATTTTCAAACTATTGTTCTAACAGTTGAACATTCATTGTCAGCCATATTTCTTTTGGCTTAAAAAGAGCGGGACTCTTTAACCAATCATTGATGACCATGCAAATACCATGCAATATTGCATGGATACCAATTTCTTAGAGTATTTTATACAAGCAGCCTGCATGGACATTGCATGGTGTTTGTATGCATGCAGATACCATGCAAAGTCCAAGCGCGTTGCATGTGTTTTGAATGGTGATCATTGGCCCCCAGCCCCCCCCCCCCTTGGGTGGGCCAAGAAAAAAAATTGGGCCCAAAAATATTTTGGACCAAAAAAGGCCTCAAGGCCCAAAAAAGTGGGCATTACTGGGTCTTTTAGGGCATTATATTTTAATTTCAGGCCAAATTTTGATGAAAATGGGCCTCAAAATTTCAAAATTAGGATCCACTTTTAGGTTGCAAGCGCGGAAGTTTTTTTTCTCTGACCTGATATTTGCCCCCCCCCCCCCTTGTTGGTTCCCAGATCCGCCCCTGGTGATTGCATGGATAATATGTTTCTACATTCTCATTAACATTGACAACGAATGGTGATTGCATGGATAAGTGCACGGGTTTTCTGTTCAACTTCCTCTTTTAAATGGACCCGCATGGATTCACATGGATTTTTTCAGATTGCATGGACTTTGCACGTGCTTTGCATGGAAAAAATCCATGCGCTTTCGCTAAGGGTTGTGCTCCATACGCTTACTTTGAATTAAAATCCCTCAATGACACATCCCGAAAAACTCCAGGGTAGTAAAAAAACATTAGACGTGTAACACAATCTAAGTCATATTTCTCTTATAGCACGTATACCTGTATGAGTCTCTTGTCTATTGTGACCTATTGTGTTACTTATAATCATTATGAAATTAATACATCATGATATCCTGCTTCAATCAATATTTGTTTCATGTTACAATCAGACTAGTTATAATTGGCAACCTATCTTGTATGACCTCATCATAGTTTATGCAATTTTATCCGGCTATAATATGGCACTGAATTATGAGGAAATGAAAACGTGTAAACAAAACTTTACAGACAAGATTTTAGGATAGAAAAATTCAAAATGGCCGACAATAAAAAAGTGTTTATGAGTTTTTGCTGATTTCTTTTTACAAAGATTATCGCATATAACTACTGTTTATGAAAGACAACACAAAATAATATGAGAGTATAATTATATATATTAACTACAAGTTACCTTATTACAATATATGTATTAAATACATTTGGCTACAACCCAGTCATTCGTCCAACAAAGTACAAGCTACTAAATAGTTAAAGTATGAAAACTCAAAACACCATTCAAATATGATATATGCTTGCACATCTACAAATGTGCAAGCACTACTAATGATCTCTGAACTTCAAATGCTTTTTTCTACGTGAGTTATGTTTTCCTTGGTTCAATATTACTGCAAATCAAACTTTGTTTCATATTTAATTGAGTGTTTGAGTAAAATGTTTCAAGGATTAATTTTCCCCTTTTCTTCTAAATTAAGCATAGTGGGGCAGAACAACAACTGGTAGCAGAAACTTCAAAAGCATAACAAAAGTAGTGCACATCTATTTAACAGCTATTAAGGGAACATTAATATAATTAATGCGTCACATCCGAACAATCTGACTTTAATATTTGAGGACTGGAACATTATGTGGACTAACTAAAATAACATCAATAGCGGAACATTTTTAATATTCGGAATCTCATCTGAGGACAATCAATATTGGAACTATTTAACATCAAACCATTATTGGATGACCTCACCTTTGGATATTGGACCTTGACCCCTCACCTTCATATAATTGTAATTTCTTTATTTATAGTTATGTAGATAAAAGTTAAAATCGTTTATTAATTATTGTTTATTGTCTTCACTTCTTCTGTTATCGACCGTAACAACATTTAAAATCGCAAATCTTTTTTAGTGCTCCAAACAACTTAGTATTTGTCACGCACAGTATGTCATGTTGGGGCATAGGTTCTGGATTCAAAATATGATTTAGCCTCGCACACACAAAACTTACTTGTTTGGATATCCAAACAAACGGATACTGTTACTTTTTCAAAAATAATTTAATCAAATGGTATTAGACAATAAAAGGTAGTCAAAAGTAAGTAGTATTTTATTCCCGAAATCTTGGAATTTAATCTGACATCAAGGCATTGTTTTGTCACTTATTGCATTTAATACTTATTCACAAAATATCTGCAATATATTAAACAAGAAAATTAAGTTAAATAAAATGATGTTACTATTAACATACGTGTATTTGGACACAAATCGACCTCCCTCTTGGTGAAAATAGGAATTTCCTCCGACGGAAGTTCTATTTTGACTTAGAGTCTTTATAACCAGCTGGGAACCAGTGAACATGATACTGTTTCTGTAGAACCTATGTATGATATTTTATGTTTACTTGACAATGTGTATTATTTATCTTAAGATGCTTTTGAAATTAGTCCTCAAACATCAACAATGAACTACCTTAGCCTTCTATAGTATAAAACTTACTCTTGTGATCTTTTTCACTTATATTTGCTTTGTCAGTGGCATTTAGATTTGTGTCCGATGAACTGCGCTTTTTACCGAATGGTATCGATATACAGGTATTGTACTTAGTTTTCTTTTTTGTTGCGGTAGATGATGTTTGTTTTTTCACTATGTTCTCGGGCTTATAGTTTGGAGGTGATTCTTGCTCTCTCTCGATTGTCTTAGAGTCTTTTTGTGGTTCTTGGTGGCCTGTTGAAGGAGTTGGCGGTTGATACAGTAAATGCCGCGTAGGTTGGGATGGTTGAGGCGGAGGAAGGTTTCCTTCTCCACTCTTGAGTATACTCTTGGATTCATTTGGTTCTGTTTGTGGTTCATTGTGATTTGTTGGAGAAGTTGTCTGTCGGTCCCCTGAATTACGCTCAGGTCTTGGCGGAGGCGATGGATGCCGTGGTCGACGGCGAGGTGCTGCTTTCTGTTTCAACTGTTCTTGAAGTGAAACTGGTTCGTAATATAACAGTTTTTTCGCAACGAATTGCTCGTGAATAATCGCGAAAGATGGCCGTTTTTCACGATCGGTTTGCCAACACTCCTTCATTATTTCAAATATCATATCAGGGCATGAGTCAGATGGTTTGGGCAAGGTTTCACCACTCGTCACATTCTTGGCAGTTTCCTGTCGATTTGCATCACCGTACGGTTTCTTTCCGCCACTGTATATCTCCCAAAACACAACGGCAGTTGCCCAAACGTCAGACTTTGTAGAGTAAACCTGATTGCTAAGCACTTCTGGTGACGCCCATTGAATTGCTACCTTCTCGTCACTAGGAGCCTCATAACTATCTGTTAAAACATGGCGGGCCATACCGAAGTCGCTTAACTTAACGGTATTGTCATCTGTAAGGAGACAATTCCTTGCAGCTACGTCCCGATGTAGAATAAAACGTCGCGATTCTAAATACGCCATTGCAGACACCAATTGTAAACAAACCCCGTAAAGTAGGTCGACATCTTCCACATTTATTAGCTTTTGTCGCAAACAGGTTTTCAAGTTTCCCTTTCCAATTAGTTCAGTGATGATGTAGAATGGTTTCTGCGTAAACCGAGTGCCAATAAGTTTAAGAATATTTTCATGGGAACATAACTGCCCCAACAATTCAGCTTCGTCGAAAAAATCGTCCTGCCAAGACACTGAGCTTGGTTCAGCAAGTAAAGATTTCACAGCAACGGGACGTCCGTCAAAGCTTCCCGATTTCACAACACCAAAATAACCCTTTCCTATACAAACATCGTGCAACTCTAGCAATGATTCGTCGACCTCCCACTGACTTTCATGAACATTTAACCAATTCGCCAGTGACGTATTTGCGTATTTTAGCGGTCTTCTCAAACGAGTAACCAACGCGCTTTTGTTCTTCTTGTGGAACTCTATCAGATCGTGAATGGTCTGGAACATTTGTAATGAGTTGTGGGCAGTTTCAATACTTAATAGTTTGCTAAAATTGTTTCGTTTTATCCGATAGTGTTTCACACTTTCTTCTTCATTACTCTGACACACCGATAGATTGTACGGTAGTTGATCAGAAGCTTTGAAGGACTCATACACCAAGAAACAGCCTTTCTGTTTCGTTGAAGATAGAAAGAGCGCAGCTTGTAGTGATGATATCGGAATAGGATAAAACCAGGGCTCGCCTCTAGGGTCACCATATTTCTTCAACACATTTAATGGCAATCGAGCTTTGCGACCATATTTGTTATATACAAACACATTCTTGTCTCGAGCAGCCGTATATGCCTCAGTAATACAGGGGTTTTCTGATTTACGCACAACAACATATTCATTCTTATTAAAGGCAATCGTTTGAACTTGTAGTTCGTCTTTCGTCTCTTGGGATTCGTTTGTCTCCTCATCTAAGCAATTTTCTGGCTTCTTTACTTTTGAAGGACTAAGGTATATGAGATTTTCATTAACATACGGATCAAACTCTTTTCCTTCTGTATCTTGTGTAACAATATAGATGTCGTTGTCGTCACACTTGGTTGTTTCTTCTGTATACCTGTATGAATCGGCACGTTTGCCCATAGCATCAATACTCACATATCCAACTTCTTCTTCATAGTCAAACGCTTGAAGAGAAATACTAGCTCTGACAGCTCTTTTACACGTTTCACCTACAATGAGGACAAGATGATATGTACGAGGATCGTTCGATAAATACTGGTACAAATGGTCTGTTTTCTCATTTGTTAAGGATGACATTTTCATATAGATTTAATCAATATTTTTATCAAGTTTAGAAATACAATTTTTTGTCAAAATGTAAATAGAAAAGACTGTGCTCGTCTTTGAGCAGAACCGTTTACATTTTATTTATATTTGTTCTTCAACAAATACTGATGTCTTCTATGTGAATTGGATTATTGTTTGGGATAGTTGGGATTTGTTTTCCCGATAAACAAGAAAGCGAGAGCACTGTTTCAGTTTTCAGAAAATAACCTTCGTATATTTGTCATGCTATAGTCTTATATCATCCTTAGTTGCGTAAAATGTATGACATTATAAAGGGGAGTACATGCTTGACTGTCATATGAATATTTAACATGGGACATAAACTTGAGAGCTTCTTTACGAGGTTCAAAAGATAAACTTCCTTTAATCGATATATCCTACCTGCTAATATATAGTTATAATCATCATTATCACAGATGTCCGAAAACTTCACTTCTTCCTCAACCTTATGTATTGCATCTTGCAGGAAATCATATTGGCTTCCAAGTGCTTTTTTAAATGAAGAGTAGGCCACTGGGCCAGAGCGAATTAGTATATCAAGGAATAATCCACATTGATGTTTTCGTGTTTCACGGGCAAATATTTCGTCCTTCTTGTCGACACTAATGACACCATCAGCCTGAAGATGGTCAATGATATCCTTAACATCGAGGCTGTCGATTATATCAAGTCTGGTTCGATTTAGTATCTCTTTTTCCTTAACATTCATTCCAGCCATTTTTACACTTGTGTTTAATCGCAAGCAGTCATGATATTTATTTTAATATACTGTATTTATGCATATCTAAGGGAATACGATCAAATGTAGTCTATGTTGGTCCCTTTCTCAAATGTTAAACAACTTGTGATGTGAAAGAAAACTAAATATCGATTTTTATTGCTGTTCTTTGTAAAAGGGAAGGAAGTGGTATTGTGATATCAAAACGAAACTAAACTAACATCAAATAATTCAATGTTAAAATAAAATATTTCACAACACAGAAATGTATTACTTTACGAGGTCACCCTGCTCTCTGTCACGAGTCTCACGTCCCTTTTCAATTCTAATAAATTTAAAATTTCTGCATTCTTCAATGTTCAATAACTTCTATATTTGATCCGACCTAGTATTAGAACTAGTACACGAATTATCAGACATTTTACGACCGTCGCTGTCATACTTGACAAGAGCAAGTCCATCAACATTTGACGACTGATAAGGACATGTAATGCCACGCGGGGAAGCATCATTTTGTCCCTCTAATATTTAAAGGTTCTATGTCCTCATGTACCATATTAGGGAAAACGGAGAATAAACATTTAGGTTCCTCTATCTTTGCGATACAGTAAAGTAGAATTTTGACAAAAATGCTCATGTATTATATAGCTAAGATGAATCATTCCTGATCAGGATGGCAAGAAATGTCAATGTTTAAGGCTACCTTTTTAAAAAGATGCTTTTGGAGATTTTGCGTCTGTAACGCAACAATGAGTTTAATTGATGGAGATAGAATCTTTTCTTACCCTGGAATACAGGGCTTTTTAATTACATAAAGCTATTTTCAAAGAAGCAAGCCACACTATTGCGAAGAATGACCCTTTTATATATCCAGAGCAAAAATGATAAGGCATTATAACATTTTTGAAAAATTCTGATATAAAAGTAGGATGGCATTTTGTGTAAAATCTAGGCGCTCCTGCATAGGAATAGATGACGCATCTTGTAATGCTCATAAAGGTGCACCTAATTCAGCTAACAATCTGAAACTTCCTGTGGGGCTTCTCCATGGAGTAAGGTTCTAACTATGCAAAAGGACAAGTCAGATTTCATCCAGATAAAAAAGTTATGCAACATTATGTGGGTGGGTGTCATTTTGTCTGTGTCACACTGTATATACTATGTCATTAAATGTAAAAAGGTTTTATCTCCAATTTGAATCATGACATTGAATGCTAAAAAGTTTTATCTCGAGAGATAGAACCATATATAGCAGTAATCATATTTTTCAAAGGAAGGACATAGAACCTTATTGCATTAGAAATCTCCTATTTCTAATTGAGATACAGCTTTATAACCTTAATTTTTGAAAAGAGCATGGTGAATTTAAGGGGAATACACTTTCACATGCATTTTACCCATATTGATAGTTAGAACCTCATAATAGTGAAGGGACGATTTCTATAGAACCTTTTCTCATTTACTACATACCATTTATCTTATAATCATACTCCGTATTGATTAAACGAGAAACTTTTGAGTAAATGAATTTTATGTTTATAACCATTCAAAGTAAGTTCGAATGTGAGTCGCAAAGAAATTTGAATGGCAAATATTTGAAAAATATTTACATGTATTCAAAAATCATTTCATACCGATTAAGTCATGACCCTAATGGTAAATTAAATTCACGAAATAACGTGAACTACAAACAAACTCCAAGACAACCGAGACCGAACAAGAAAAAGAAGTAAAATATAATCTCTACGATCGTTATAATTTATTGCTCGGTTTTTGTTATGCGCAACGAATTATTTAACATCAGAATGTCTGAGTTTTTGTTGTCTATTAAAGTATACCACATAATGAGTGGTGCTTCAAGGCTACAGTATTTAGTTCAAGGCGTATGATTAAGTATCGGTGCCGCTTGTATCATCAATGCCCGCTAGTAATGGCGTATTTAGTGTTGCCGTTCTGCTTATCCAGGTCTGCCTCCTCTCTCATGCTGTCTGTGTAGCGTTTCTGGAGCATGTGAACGTACACGGGAAGACCAAATGTCAGGAAGGACACAATTAACAGTCCAATATTCACCTGGAGTAAATATTTGTAATCAATGTAAGTACCCGCACCAGTTCGTGCAGTGCATATCTTCCGAACCCGGGGGGCTCTATAGAATTGTAGTTTTCTGATTCTTAGAGGTGTTAACAAAATAAAAATAAATGAACTAGTCATATTTGAGAGAATTTTGTTTTTAACAGTGCTTCTTTGCTTGAGACACTGAATAATCTCATTAAATCAGAAAAGTCATAGCACTGGTATGATAAAACTTACATAGAGAGGATTTCGTCCACTAACGCCCTCTATGAGGATAAACATGGGGCTCTGTAGGAGATCAACAAGGGCGGCTACCAGTGTTTGCGCCCCGATTACCTTGCCGTAGTTAGCGAAGTGAAAGACAAGAGCGTATAAGGCACATACGGCAGAGAAACCAAACCCACGCACAGCAGTATGAAGAATGAACGTAACAATCTAAAAGGAGAGTTTTAAAGTTTGATTTTAAAAGTCATAATCCTTAATAAAAAGGTAACTTGTGCCTTTTCATGTGATGACTGTGAAACTATCCTGCAAAAATGTTAACATCAGAAGATTAAAGTGTTATTCATGACGATAATTATTTGGATCACTGTACTATATTTCACATGTCAAGTCCCGATTTAAAAAGGGAGAAATTTTTAATGCTTACCCCGATTTTTATCATATAATCCATCGATATTGAGTTAAAAAATCTGTACAAGCATCATTACTTATTGTTTCAAAACGGATATAGACAAGGAGCTAGTAATCTTTGAAATGTTCGCCTTTTGATTCGATTTGACAATTAAAATTTAGCACATACCTGAATTTGTAGATTAGGAATGAGAACAGTGACGCCAAATAACACGAGGAGTATATTCGTCAGCAGGAAGGCGTTACGAATATTTCTCAGCTTTTGAAGTTTAAGATTGATTTCTCGTTCCCTGAAAGAATTACCTGATACTGTAACACAATTTGTCAATTTGAATAAAATATCTTAAAATTGTCTACATGAATTAGCTTTGCCCAAGACGGTATTTCCTTTTACTTATCTTGATCTTCAATTTACTTTATTGATGTAAAAGTAAAAAAAGAAAAAAGACATCGATTAGGGCAAGGCTACACATAAATATCAGTAGAGATTCTGATCTAGATCAATCGTATTTCGTAGCAGTGGATTCCTTTATTTCCCATTCTGTTCATCGTCGTAGCCAGGCATGAGGGCTCAGCAATTATTTAATTGAAACCAACAAAGCAAAAATTTCAGGAAAAATTTTGCAGACATACACTTTTAACTCAAAATAAGCTAAATGTAGGTATTTGAATGGTTTTAGATATCTTCGACTTGTTTTTGAATCTCTTCCCTTGGGCTGAATTATTTCCTAAGTTATGTTTACATCTCTGAATTAACTTCATTTTCTCAATTTTTTAAATACATCTCAAAATGTCATATTTTTGTGAGACAGCTGCCTCTTCTGCCTCTTACTTTGCCAACGCCCATGGTTTGACACGTGTACTTAAACTTTATATGTTGGTAAACAGAAAAGCCGCTATATCACTTAGACTGTATTCAACTAGAAATATGCTTCTATAAAGAAGCATATATGATTTCTCATGATGATGACAAATTCACCATTATCAATTGATCATACATACTCTTTGGTTACTGTTGTGTCGTTGATGTATTTTTTGGTGCCCCAGTCAATGACGATTCCAATAGCAGGACAGAAGGCAAAACACATTATCTGGATCAGTCCAAATATCTTACTGTAGCTGTTTACTGGAAAAAAGGGAAACCCTTCTTGATTATATTTTTGAAAAACATCATGATTGCTTACACACAATTGTTAACACGAATACAATGGTTATTTTGAACAAATTACAAAATTCATCATCATTTTTGTTGAGTCACTTTGGCAATCTTATTTATTGTGACTAAATATTGCAACAAAATTCTTGAATCTACCTGCTTCAGGATCGCCACCAGAAGCTTTAAGAAGTTCTATTTCCATGGCACCTATGTACAACAAAATCCTTAGTTGGGCTATACTCAGTAACACCAGCCCCCAGATAAAGATCGGGTGTTTTATTACTTCTTTAAAAGGCTCAGGTTTATCTTCTTTATTTTCTTTTGTTTCGTCTAAACCCGCTTTGTTAATGTTTAAGCTAAAATGTTGGTAAACATGCGTATTTTGGTCATGGTTTAATCTACAAGGATTGGAGGGTGCATTTGTTAGTGCAAAGCAAGCGTATCGGTTAGTTGTTGGTAAATTGAAGCTTAAGAAGACATAGTCAATGTTAAAATAGTGCCAAGTTATGAATCTAAAGGATGCTAATGTTAGTTTTGTAAAATTATTTGTTATTACTTGGTATCAGGGGCTTCCCCTTACATGTAGCTATGCCTACAAGGAGGATTGGCTCCCAGAATCGAAGTCGATATTTTCCAACAATGAAAACGCCGAGATGTCGTTATCTTCTGAAATTATAACCGATTATAAATTCAAAATAAACAGTTCAAAAGATTCGAACCAATATCTCAATCATTTCCTGTGAGTTTTGGAATTTTTCGTTAGGAAATAAGACCAAAATTTACGATTCAAATGTTGAAGTGAACAAAATGGCGGCTGTTGGAATTCAAATTTTGTAGCACGACATGCCCATATATGGGACAGAATATCGATGTTGCACTCTGGGAGCCAATCCTCCTTGTATGCCTACTAGGTCCTACAAGCCTTATATGGATCTATCACATGACATTTAAAATAGCGGACATCAGAAAGTTGGATTCCTATATGATCCTATATAAGCCTTCTATGGATCTACACATGGGTAGTGCGTGACCCAATACAAACTCTGAACTTTGGGTACCCCCCCCCCCCTCCTCTGGAATTCAAGCTTACTTTGATGTTGATGTCGACATGAAGTAGCCAGTTCCTTCTCCAGTACGTAAAGTTGTTCCGTTACCATGGTTACCATTCTCCTCCATGGCTTCATCCCCCTTGCTTAACCTGTGACCGATTCTGGCCATCTCTTTCTGACTCACCTTGAATAGACGACCATATGGACGTAATGTAACTGCACAAAGCAATAAACGTGGAAAATGGCGCCAAAGGGAAAAGATAGAAATTAGTCGACGTCTTAAATATACAGGGTGTCAAATAAATCCCGTCCCCCCCTCTACAGCCAAAACCAAGATATTTGGTACCAAGTGTGATATATCATTGGAAAGGTCTTCCAAAGTTACGTTGATTGGCATATATCTGACGCATGTCAATCAATCTCACAAATTATTACATTGTATCAATTGAGGTGACCATATGCCTAGAAACATGGCAATTTGGCATATTTGGCAGGATTTTAAGAATCGGGTATAAGAAAGGTCAAGGGACCAAAAGATGACTAAATATGTTTATGGCAATGAATTTAACCAATTTCTGGATAGGGTTAGATGTGTAGAAAATAGAGGGGCAAGGAAAGTGCTGAAAACCATTTTGTAACAAGTGGAATGCGAAAAAGATCAACTTTTTGACGTATTTCTGAGGTCATATCCTTGTCATTTTGACGCAAAAAAGCTACTTAAAGGAGGGCACGTAAACTATAAAAGACATCATAAAAATATAGGTAAATTTCATCCAAAATACTTGAGAGTTGGTGAGTTAACATAACTTTGGATGATCTTTCCAATGGTATATCACACTAGGTACTGTCTGTTAAGGCTTTAGCTGTAGCAGGGGGGACGGGACTTATTTGACACCCTGTATAGTTATATATTCATCATTTAATCAAGATTCCATACTTGTATTACAAAGGAATGAACGTGAAAAATGGCGAAAGGGAAAAGATAGAAATAGTCGACGTCTTAAATATATCGTTATCTAATTATCATTTAATCAAGATTCCATACTTGTATTACAAAGGAATGAACGTGAAAAATGGCGAAAGGGAAAAGATAGAAATAGTCGACGTCTTAAATAAATAGTTATATATTTATCATTTAATCAAGATTGCCTGTATCACATATATTTTGAATCCGGAAATAAGGTGTTTAAACTCCACTTTGAAATCGTTTTCCTTAATTGCTCACCTCCTCGTAAAGCTTTCCTCTGTTATTGTGAAGCCTCCTCAACTCAGACAAACTTGGCAGTAGTTCAGGTGCTAAACACAAAACAATAGGGAGGTTGAGATACGCGCTTTTGGAGAGCTAGTGCGTAAACGTAAAACATTAAAACCCGAGAGAATGCTGTCAACCATAGGTTCTGGGCCGATATAAAGATGGCAGCACCAACATAATCCAGTATTATCCAGACTATTTATAAACAGATCGATTACCATGCCATCTTTATTTAAAAAGTATTCCTATCGGTCTTTGCCTATGCTGTCAACCTCTCAATCGGATATTCCAGGGAAAAAATTCCAAATTTTCCCCCGTAAACCTGTATAGTCTATTGGGAGAGCAAATATTACGGAAGGAAGGAGTAATCAGCAGATGACTATTATTCTACATGCTTACGTACAAGTTATCTTATCTGATAGTATGGCTGTTTATTATTATTGTACATTATATTGTATACGTCATAAACGCTATAAATACCTGGTATAATCTGTCTAGGGACATTAAAGATAGTGTTGAAAAACATCCACCCTCCTCCAGTTGCTAATGTTAGCCACATTACACTTATTGGAACACCCATATCATACAAGATCTAAAAATAAGGCATATCACACTGAATGGAACATTAATGTCATATCAAATCGGAAAAATAGTCAACATCACACTGAATGGAATATCATTGTCAATCAAGATTTGGTGACAAGCAACAGGCACTGAATGGAATATCAGTGTCTAATAAAATCTAAAGAATAAGCCACATAACACTTGATCCGATGAAACATCAATGTCAAACAAGATCTGACAAAATAAGCCACATCAATCTGACTGGATCAATATCAAACAAGATCCTGAAAATTAGTCATATCACACTGATTAGACATCAATGTCGAACAAGAGCTGAAAATTAGTCACTTCACACGCAATAGATCATCTATGTCATCGGAGGTTTTTTAAATCGCTGTATATCATCATCATGTATCTTATAAATTTGTATGAGCATAAAATTGATTTTGTTATATGCTGTTCCAACACTTTAGCTTCGGGGCAAAACTGATTAAGAGTTATCACCCGATTAATGGCCTGACCTCATTACTATTGTTTTTATGTATAATCTTACACTACATATTTTAAATTTAACATATAGTCTGGACAGTTCACATAGATAGTACATGTAGCTATGAATTTGACGCTTATTGATGTTCGTGGAGTAAAACATGTGTACCTTTACATGGAGTGCACTTGGGATGCTCTCACTAAGCTATAAGATGGTCAAATTTTATGAAAATTTAAATGGTAATTGTATTGTCAAGGGAAGATTTTTTGAAAACCGTTTCATAAAAATAGGTGTCCTCATCCGACAGGTTTTTCTGTAACAAGATACTAATTGCTTGCGGCAACCATGTCCAAATGGATACATATTGTAATCTTCTCAATGTTATTAATGCTAGTGATTTTTGTTATGATGACATATGATTTAACAATAGAGGAGTGGAAAAAGAGAATTGAATTTACCGTACAAGTACCACAGTATAAAATAAGTGGGCACTCACGACAATCAACGATAACAGTTGGCGGAGCTTTTGACGAACAGGAAAATTGCATACAAGGTGACTGCCACAAAGACGCAATACAATCGAATACTTACTTAGGGAATCTATCTTGGGAGATATAGAAATATTGAGCGAATAATGAATCCATCAGATTGTAAAACAGCAAAATATTTACTCTGTGAGTGGCCAACAATGGTGTGGGGTCTAGGATCAGTGACACACCACATATTATATTGTCTCAGCATTGCGGTATTAACAAAGAGGGTCCTACTTATTGACGCTAAGAACTTCTACCCAAGAAAATGGAGCTCATATTTTTTAGAACCCAGTGACAAATGTTGGAACCACACCAGAGAAAGTTATATTGATTGGTATGAACTGGATGATATTGAGACATCAGATGAGCAAGTGGTACGCTTGTTTTACAATACAACAAAGAATTTCAATCGGACTAGGGATTACCCAGATATGATGCCATATAGTTTTATCAAGAATATGACCCTTTATAAGCAAATACAGGGTCATCATAAACAACCAGAGCTATGGGTAGTAAGCCAACTGGTAAAATATCTATACGAATTAAATTCAAACTTTAAGAAACGTTTACAAAAAACGAAAGAATGGATAGGATACAAACATCCAATTGTAGGAGTACATATTCGTCGGGGAGATAAGATCAGAGAAGCTCCTCCAGTTCCAACTCATACTTATATGGAACATGTGGCAAGATATTATGAACATACTCCAAACGCTGAACATGAATCATTAGTGTACTTAGCATCAGACGATGCAAATGTGTACAATGAGACAACCAATGAATACAAAGCTTATAGATTTGTGTATATCGATCCGTCTACAACAGGAAGGAAACTTGACAGAGCAGTTGCGGATCTATTTCTTTTGGCGGATTCTGATTTTTTCGTAGGGACATTTTCATCAAGTTTTGGACGTTTGATCCATGAATTACGCCAGCAGAAATATGAAGATGGAGTGTGTATGGGAGTGTCACTAGACAGGGGTTATCATTATAATTCCTGTTGTGACATCGGTTATAAATTGACTGATATTCATATCAACTGTTCCTATGATAATATTACAATTGAAAAAACTCTCAAGCAACTTTTCTGAAAAAGTCCAACTAAATTATGAACTACTTAGGAACTTATATGAAATAAATGGAATTCAATTGAAATTGAAAAAATTAAAAGGACATATATGAAATAAATGGAATTGAATTGAAATTGAAAAAAATCAAAAGGACATATATGGAATAAATAAAATTGAATTGAAATTGAAAAAGATCAAAAGGACATATATGAAATAAATGGAATTGAATTGAAATTGAAAAAATTAAAAGGACATAAAATAAATGGAATTGAATTGAAATTAAAAGGACAATAATAAGGAAATAATCCGAAATTAAAGACAAATTATTGATAAGAAACTGAAGACTAATGCTTAGAAACTTTAGAAGCTACAAAAGGTGAATAACCCTTCATTGATGATGCCACTACGGCTACATGGATGACCGGTCGTGCTGAACTGAAAAAGCATACAAACATTTTAATGTTAGGTATACCTTTATTCCGGGGAAGACTACAGCTGCAGATGAATAAGCACCAATTAACAGACCTAACATCGTGGCCCTCATGTGCCCAAACAGATTTGGAATCTGAAAAGAATATGAAACAATTATATTGGCTGTATATAGGATTTCAGAAATTACATGAATTTTAGTGAAAAGTGATTTAGTAATTTTAGTTTCAAATAAAAACTTTTGTCACCTGATTTCTTATTCTTCCCTACTGCCAAATATAGAGTTTTTTAAATACGAGGATTGTCCCATAAGTCTTAGAATAAGTTAAACACACCTGTAAAGATGTGAAGGTCACCATGATACCACCGATACCGTTGATGGCAAGGGCAGGAAACAGGATCCAAGAGAAGGCTATAAAAACAACAATCATTGACGGATGGTACAACATAATAAGATGTGATAATCAAATGCCAGCATACTGTCAAATCTATTTTGATTACTTTTATTCCGTTTCCGAGGCTAGAATCCCAATATCTATTGATTTATATAGTGACCTAAATCTTAATCTTCTTCAGTTTCATACCCAACCAAGGCCAATAAGGGCAATATAAAAGGATGATCATGCTTATGGTTCAAGATCGAGTTTAATTTCTCTGACATTTATGTATCTTACATTGATTAGCGAAGCTCATGACCACACAAGAGGCAGAGAAGAGCACACTGCCTATGAGACGCATGATCCTATAGCCAAACCTGTCCTGAAGGAGTCCAATGGGAAATGTTGCTACACTCATCAAGGAATTACCAACCTGGAAATATAAAGGATACGTATGGTACAAATTCAGCATAAACCATCTCTTGTCCCTAAGTAGCCCCTTTATATAGTGGCTGATATCGATGTGTTTCTTATACAAGAAGTTAAGCTATGAAATTAAATGATGCAGCCCTAGAATTCAGAACCAAATAGTGTACATTCTGACTTCAATTTCCAAGAAAACATGAATATTTGATGTACAGGGTGACCCAAAACAATGATTATATTATAATTGAAATAATGACCATCTCGCATGAAATCGTTCTAAAATGGCCGACCTTTTCAACAAAAATGGGTTAAATAGGGCATAAGTTACGATTGATGTTGATAATGAATGTGAGGATAACACATGAAAAACATACTGTGAATACTAAGTTGAGCATTTGATCTTGAGCAGAGCATCCAATGCCAGAACTACTGACACCAGGGGGCGGTGCACTTAACAGCCTCCTACTACTTGAATCTGATTGGTTTATCAAGTAACTGAAGTTGCCGGAAGTGGGGTCGACAATTTCTATTTCAGGAACTATGGTTATGTTTCCCAATGTGCTATTGAGGCTTGTAGAATTCTCAGCTGAATCTGAAATGAAAATACAAAGTATTGATAAAATGATATGAGTACTGTGAATCAAAATCATTCGAATCATTTATTCCATATTGGATACTTGCATCGAATTTCAAGAGTCAATTATGCAAGCAAATCATGTCAATTGTGCAATGCAAGCAAGAATGCATACGATCAACAAAAATAAAATAAAATTACCTGTGCATAATTCTGAATAGAATCCTTCCTCCTTAAGAGTTAGCATGAGGGCGGACCAGCCGAACATTAGTGCTGAGAACAAGAGTAGCTCTATTACATTGGTTACCAACAGCCACCAGCGTCTCTTGACAGCCGTGTATAGAGTGGGCTGGAACAACTCTTTTATACCCATTCTATAATGTAACATAAGTGATTACGTATTCATTTTCTGTCACTACTCAACACAATGTCAATATGTGTTTGTTTTGTTAAAGATATCTTCCTATAAATCTCCCTGTTCACCGGAGAAGGTAACGGTCGTTACCTTTTCTTTCAAAATGGCGTACGGTAACTCCCGATTTTGATGTTTTTAGTTTTCATCGAATTAAACTACTTTGATATGATTATTTGATATTACTAGATATCAGGGGCTTCCCCTTAGCTTTTCCTACATGGTCCTAGAAGCTGTCACATAGATAGCATGGTCCTAGAATCTATCACATAGATACCGCGTGACCCGATACAAAGTCTGAACTTTGGAAATCCCCTCCGTCCCTCCCCGTTGGACATTGATATGTCAGATTGAATTGTGCTATTGCACAATAAAATGTAGCATTGGGTGTAAGCGCTATATGACTCTTACAACCCTTAAGCATCAAGGATATCTCTAAGTTAAAAGCTCACCAATCCAACCCGGTTGAAAAACATCAACGTCGAAGTTTGAGCCAACTTCAGTTTAATCAATTTAAAAAGTAGTACCAGGTGCAGGGCAGTGCGATGGGCAACAGTATAAGAAGAAATGGCGCTACCATAGGCGACATTCAAAAAAGTAGTCGAGGAGAATCTAGGTTTCGTTAAGTTTTGATAAATATTCATCATTTCTTGATGTAAATGACGAAAATGTTTACATTTTAGTTGAGTTATCTGGGCTACTGTAGGAGCACTGACCCCATGTAATCGAGATATCTCGTAATGCAATAAAATATTATGACTTTTAAAGTGTACATTTCATTTGCTTTATCATGTCACTCCGTACTGAATTTTGAACCCCCTAACGTTATCAATCAGACCCATAAAATGCCATATACAACTTCAAGCCAAGGCCACTACATGTACTTCCCTGATATCATATATCATTTGAAAGCATTGCCGTGCCACAAAGCTAGAATGACGTTTCGTATCTGTTTGATTAATATATCAATCAGTCTTCCAGCTGACAAACATCACAAACGCGGTAATTGTTTTTAACAATAAGTTCTGGAAAAATGTTAACTATTCAATGTGATTTCAGTCTTGTAAGAATTATTGGATTAAATGGGGCCTTTTAGGCATTTCCGTATCTCACAGATATACAGTGCGTATAAAAAAAACGCAACAGATTGTTATCTCGGAAAAGCACAAAACAAGTGATAATATCATTGATTTCATTCAATGCACCATAAAGCCATATGTCTCCTCTTTACAATGATATATCATTCCTGGATATTTGGTCATGGTTGGGCGAGTAATCATTCCATTTGCAAAGTGGGCCAAAATTAGCTTGGGACCAAGTTATAAACATCGCAAAACTCAGTGTACGCGTGTACGGAACCCTATGCAATATTGGAAGAAAACATAAATTAAAACCAATGCTGCCTGCATCCTTTTCATTCAATGTACCAACAAGCCAAATTACTCCTCTTTGCAATGGAGTATCATTCATTCACAGGGAGTCATGGCTGGCTGAATAATCATTAATTTTGCAAAATGCGGAAAAATTAAGCTCAGACCCAAGTTTTAAACATACAGTTTAGAAACATATATTTGTTGAGTTCATTTCATGTGTCCATCATCTAATGTTTTGAAATGAGTCTTTGAACAATCACATATACATCCCCTCCATAAGTTTAGAAACATAGAAATGATTTTTAAAAAAAACAATAATTCAAATTGAAGTCGATCTTAATACCTTAAACTATAGCCAGAATTGACAACATTTATTTATACATATTAATTTGTTTAACATAAGCTACATGTATCCGTCGCATGAACATTTTTTATTTCTGTTGATATTTTGGACACTTTCTTTTGTAGTTTGAAACTTGCAAAACAAAAAACGACATTTACAACTAAAAACAAATCAAAGACAGAAGTGGATCAGATTACTAATTGTCATAAATTATTTGAAAAAGTAACTTACTTAAGAGTCGGAAAGCTGCCAATAATCCCAGGATTCCAAGAGCAGAGTCAACGCTGAAGTGAAAGAAGGATAATTTTCATATATTGCAATATGTTTATCTATAACATGAAGATAAATTAACTGGCACAAGTGCAAATCCCACACAAAACAAGCAATCGTGACATAATTATTGAAATATTCTGATTTATCAGATCTGTAAACTGCACAGCCCTTGTGCTGTTTTGCTTGTGCAGTTGCAGCACTACCTCTCTACTGAGCTTCCATAATAGATATCACAATCAAAAGTTAATAATAGAAAGAAAAAACTAACCTATATTGATACTCAACGTATGAAACGTTTTTAGGAGAATTTTGACTCTTGTTTGAATGCGATTTAGAAACGATACAAGGCATTTATTTGAATAGTGATAACAGTTAATTGTAATCTGATAAATACAGTATGATACTCCCAGAATTTATTACTCAATATCATCAATCCTTCACATACTTCAACAATCAGAGAACGTGGCATTAAGTAGATTAACACTGACTCAGTTACACATTATGATAAACTATCCCATTGTATATTTGGTGTGTCCTCGGAAAGCAGTTCCTCCGTTTAGATCAGTAAACATCTCTATTCCAAAAATATAAAAAATAGTTAATATTATTCCTATTTTATTCCCGTGTTCAACCTTTTTGAATTACATAGAGTCTTTGTAGGTAAAAGATGGGTATCGATATGGCGAACTTTTTGAACACACGTTTCTCTTAAACCAGTCATCAAAAAATTCTGAAAATTTCACACATTGTCAATTTAATGGTCATCATTTGAATGGTAACAATATAATTGGAAAAATATATATATAATTTCATCTATATTGTTTTAGAAAACACATCAAACACTTGTTTTGTTCTTGATATCATGTTTCCAGAGTGAAATGAAACATCTTTCCGAACCTCATTGGAACAAAACGACATAAACACAACATGTTTAGGTCTCTCAATATTGTAATTGTACAAAGGAGATTTTGGTTGATTTTAAAAAATTATCTTGTTAATGAAATAAAATGTTTATCTTGATTTTTATCTATTTTGGGGGGATTTTGTTTTAATTCTTTGAATACCTTTTTAAAATCAACCAAAAATTCCTTTGTATAACTATAATATTGAGAGGTCTAAAAACATGTTGTATATGCTATTTTGTTCCAACAAGGTTCGGAAGGACATTTTATTTCATTCTCAAGAATTGGTAGAAAGGAGCAAAAATAATTGCACTAGAAAAACAAAAAATGTTAACAAAAACAGTTATATAAAATATTTCTAAATAATTTTCGCATTAAATTGTTGTAAATTAGTCAACATTACATAAAATACCATGTTTTTTACAGAATGTTTTTAATGATTGGTTTAAGAGAAAAACATTGTTGAATTCAGTTCTCCATATCGATACCACTCCTTTAAGTTCTTTTATTTACAGTAAAACAGTTGATTGTCTAGAAATCGACGTTGAGTTCCAATAATAGGGAGTTTAAGCTTGCAATGTTTTTCACAACCTAAACGTGAACGGAAAATATTTAGGCGATGCATTTGTATGGGCGATAGGTCATACGTATAGGTTGGCGTTTCGATTTTACACCCTCCTTTTAAAGATCTTATTTAATTAAATGGTTGTGAATAATCGTTGGAGTGAACTATTTTAATTTTCAGAGCATCAGTATTATCTTATTACTACAGATATTGGAGCAACCATTGAGCATGCTTAATATTATCATTATCAATTAAAAAAGATGTCGCCAAATCTGCAAACAGCTACATTGTACACTAGCGACACCTTAGGGGAAGAGATACAAAAAAAGCATTTTTATGGAAACCTATAAGTGACTTTATAAAATAGGCGTGCTTGAAAACCTAACCTGTGAAAATGAATGAATTTTAGGTAATGTTCAGGTAGGTTAGCAAACAATTTCACACGGTTATATCTTAAATAAGGCTATTCTCTGACCACGAAGACGGGTATGTCTTTTAGAACCATTCATTATCTCGAAGAAAAGGCATACACAATTTATCATAATAAAGGCTATCGGATAATTAGCTAACAATCAACCTATCGACATACTTTTTCAAAGATGTTGACCTCTTTTTTAATGATATTTCCAATAACTTAATTATCTAATAACCTCATTTTCACCAAAATTGCAGTCATTTTTTTACAATGTTCAATGCATAACAATAAATTAGTTTTTGAAAGGAAAACTGAGTTCCTCTAAAATTAATATTTCCCGTGTTATTTTCCCATTGAAAAAACTCATGTTATCCGTTGGTTTCAGCTCATTTTGGTTATCAAATTTCAGTGTTACTAATGCTGGGCACAAATGCTCTCGTGGATAAAATAGATATTATATTAAT